CTGTGGGCCAAGGAAAATTCAGTTTTCCTCTCTGTCCAAGGGGAGGGAGGTCGCATGAACACCTTTCCCAGTGACTCAGGGTCTGACTGTGTTTCTTTCATTACTTTGGGCACTGTGGCACAGCACAAACTGAGCTTGATTTTCCCATTTGATACAGGGCAACAAACAATACTGAGAGACTTTCTTTGCCTGGAGGAGGGGACAGCAGGCTGTTAGTCACCTTTGCAGCACTCCACTCCAGGCTGTGTCTGCTGATGTGGAAAGGAAGGAGGTGCTGCTCTGTGCTTGGAGCTACTTCTGGGATGATATAGTCCAAACCTGCTGGGTTTTATTCAACTCCTATCAGATTTATTCCCAATTCTAATAGAGAGCAATAATTTTTACCACCTCAACATTTTCTTCTGAAGAGCTTGAAGGGTTTTACAGACTTTAATAAGGATACTTTTGTAACATAAGGAATAATAACAGTCTCCACTGATTCTTCAGGGAAGACTGAAGTACAGGGATCTAATAAAAGTCCAAGGAATATAACCCACAGGCCCTACATCCCAGGCCTCATACATTATACCATTTTTCATCCTACTCTCCAAAAGTAATTCTTTGTCTTGAGGAGAGCTGACACATGGTAGAGGTGGTCTCTGCCTTGGAAGTTCTTTTTTCAGCAAAAGATTAAAAAGTCCTGTTCTCCCTCTTTAGTTACTTAAGAAGTGGCATAAGAGTGCCACAAAACAGAAACACTGAATATTTTAAAAAACTTTTGGGAAAAAAAAATTTAAAAAAATTATTTTCTGGCTAGAAAGTTAGTTGTATAGCAGTCACTGAGAGGAAAGCTCTGAAAATGCAGCTTCAGAGTGATGCAATTTAAAGGTGAATTTGGCAGATACTGTGCCAAAGTTTTTAAATCCACCAGATTTTGGCCTTCTCTGTGCCTTTTGCACTTCCTCAGTTGTGTGAGATGCCTCTGGGTGTCTGTGGAGCTCCTTGGGGGGACTTAGGAGATGTTCCCAGGATGCAGGAAGCAAGATGGACTTATTGCTTGACATGATTGGACTTATTTCTTGACATATTTCCCCACCATGGAGGCGTTTTATGTGAAGGCTTCCTGAAGGACTCAGGAATGCTGAGGGGGCTACCTTGCAAGCATGGCTTCCCACTATTTTGGAATGCACAGCCATGCTGATGAGCTGCTGAGCTGGGCATGCAGGTGCACACTCACCCAGGGCATGCAGGGGAGCATTCCTGCATCCAGGGAACTCCCAGGCACCAGGGAAGTGCCTGGTTATCCACAACCATGTCCAACTCTCACAGTGACACAGTCACACAGGCTCAGTTACACACACAGCAACCCCTGAATCCATCAACAGCCATTCACTGCAGAAATACACGTGAAATTCTGGTGCTGGCATTCACACTCCTTTTCCCCCACACGTGGATTTATGTCTGGACACTCTCCTGTGGATTTGTAGCCCATAAAGGCATCCAAACACACTTAGGGACATGGAGCACCATTAATGGAGGCACACATAAAGACCCACCCATGCACACTCACATATATCTTAACGAAGGTTTTGGTCTGGGAAATTCCTTTTCAAGAAACAAAAATAAATGTCAAAAGAAAAAACGAAAGACAAACCAGAGCATGGGGAACTGCACAAACAAAAGCAAGCACATACCTACACACACACTGTGGAGGCTGTCAGTCAGTCAGGGCTCTCCTCACAACTACAGCTCACTGCCTGCTGGGTTTGCTTCCCCTGAGTGCAAACGTGGGGTGAACCTCACAGATTTCAGGCTTATGGGTCAAACTGACCTGTGCCAGGAGTTTCCATCTTCCCTTCTAACTGACCACAATGAGAACTGACCCTTCACTCCAAGAGCAGCACCTTCCAAGATCCTACCACCAGCACTCTTCAGCTTCTAAGGAGTTGAGCAGAAATATTTTACCTGCACCTGACCAGTCTAAACATCTCCTATTAGTGGAGCTGGTTGGCATTTTAGGGTTTATTGTTTCTGTCCTTTTGAGGACAGAAGGTGGTCTCTCAGAACAAGACAAGACAGTGTACAGAAACACAGGGCAGGGCTTGCCAAAGCCCACAGACAGCAAGGAAGCAACGAGCCCCCGAGGGGACGGGAGAAGTGTGTCTGATAAACTGCCTCGCACTGCTTGGCAAGATGACAACCGTCCGTCCAAGATGGGCTGCCACTTCCAAAGCCCATTTTCTACAGATGTAACATATCAAGTGCTGCTAGCAGGGAGGGAATCTGACAGGACAAACCAACATACAAAACATTCTCTTATTCAATAAGGGTTATAAGTGCAAAGGGATTTCAGAACATTTCAGAACAAACTCAATCCATAGCTGCCGCTTATTTATCAGTGCATCAAAAGGTTGTGCAAGTTTTTAGTAACAAACATTAGAAACTAGTAGCAAAGGACTTGCCTAGATAAAAAGAGAAGATTTAAACATGCCAGGTAACAAAAAGATGTGTGCAGAGATCTGTAAAACTGTATAGAAGGAAATGATTCTTTAGAGGAAACAGAGGGACCGTCACACAACGCTCTTCACAGCCCTTACTAAAAGAGTCAGGGCCACCCCTGCTGCCTCCTCACCTAAGACAGCTGCTGGTTGTTTGGACAGAGGCATGCCCTCATTTTTTGTAGGCTTCTGTAACTGAAAACTGGATTCTGGGCCTTGCCTGACATGAACTTGAATTGAGACAGAGCCTCGTGTCTGGCAATTAAGCACCGCAGCACGGACAGCCCTGGAGACTGAAGATCACAACAACCATCAGCAGACATCACTGTCTCAAGATGCTGAGGATGAATGTGATTTATACTGCTTAAATTTGATGTCTGGGAGCCGGGCGTCTAGACAAACCTAACAAACCTAGACACTCACCAGTCACCGGTGGGCACCTCCAAATAACAGTTTATTTCCCTGTCACAGACATGTCCAGGGTGCCTGGGAGGGGAGCATCCCTCACCACTAACAGCAAGAGGTCACCTGGCTGTGACTCTCTTCCTCTCAGACAATGGAAGCTAATGAGGAGATGAATCTGAATTTCTTCAAAAGGAACCGTTGGATTTTCCTGCAGTTTAGGATTCCTGACTATTTATGTACCAAACAAAAGGATTTCCTTCCTTTCTGCTTAGAAGACTTTTGTATGGATTCAAATACAGCAGTCAGGGAAGTCTTATTGATGTTTAATATGATTAATTTCCAGTTAACTGTGCTTATTCCCTCCAGTGCCATATGCAGTTCTCCCTCCAGGATGAGAATTGAACTTTTCCACAATCTGAAGGCTATTGCCAGGTTCCCTACTTAGTTTGCTTGTGACAAGTGTGGCAGAGAAAAGGTTTTAATTTCACTCTTAAATTAAAATTAACAACTTCAGCCTCATAGTAACATCCCTCTACAAAGTTGGACTAATACTGATATCTACCTAGTAAAAGGGTGTCTAAAATTGTTTACAACATTCTGCAGGAAATGTTGTAAGCAATTTTTTGTGTCCAGAAAGTAGGACAAAGACATGCAGAATAAAAGTTCCTTTTTAGTTAAAAACTATTTTCCATTATTTCAAAAGACAAGGAAAATAAACTAGCTTAAAAAAATAAAAAAATCATTTATTCAAAATCAAAATGTTACAGCTTGAATAAATATTCCTGTTTTGGAATTATAGAATAAAAAGGAAAAAAAAAAAGAAAAAAGTTGAACAGAAATTAAACTAGAACCAAGATATGAAAATATTTTGTTTGGAAAGTTCCAAGTGAGGCATTTTTATTTTTCAAAACACTGCCTGATTATTTTTCTCTAAACACAGCACTGAGTGATAACTGTGCTGTCACTTCTCTGCTTGCAATGGGTTGCCTTTACAGCACACAATTCCAAGATGGAATGTTTATTCAACAGCCACATAATTTTGAAAATTTGCAACTGATTTGCTGTTCTTTAACATATTTACAGCAATTTTCTTTCAATCTTTCTATTTTCCTGGCCTTTATCACCTGGATTTTTCGGTGTAATTGTTGTCCATGCTCATAACCCCATCACAGTCTTTTGGAAATGTTTCCTGCCTGTCCTATGTCTATTTATCCTATAATTCTATATCCATCTACCTGCAAAAAAAAGAGATCTAGGATAAAAAATTGCCTGGTGTGATTTATTTCCTGCACAGTAGATGCTCATTTCAGTCTCCATGGCTCACTCAGTCCTCACCTGTCTGCTGAGATGGGCACGAGTGGGACCAATCAGTGCCAATTGGGCTGGTGCAGTTTGAGATGGAGCAAATCAGGTTGAAAACAAACAAACAAACAAAAAAAGGGTTGGAACTCTGGTGCTTTGTTTTCCTTTGGGATTTCTGCTTTATTTTTATTTTATCTACCTCAGTTTATTATTATATTCACATTTGAAACAGAACATTAGGAGCAGGTTCCTCTAAACAGAGACAATTTGGTCTTTATTTCTTTTGGAGGAAGCCTGAGTGAGGAGGCACAGGGAGGATTCCTGTTTTGGTTAGGATTCCTGTTTTGGTTCCCTCAGTTCCACCTCGAAAGAACTGACCTTTATCTCTCTGTGGGGTGGAGAGTATTGAGCTGCCATGGGAAGCACAGCATAACACTGGGCAGACCAAAGTCCTGTTCGAGCAGCTTCCCATGGCACAAAGAGCTTTTTCACTTACACTCCACATCTCCCATCACTTTTCCTGCTATACAGTTTAATTCATGCCAGGCGGATTATGGAGGGAAGAAAATGATGCAACAGTCAAAAAGTCCTTTAAGTCGTTCCATAAAAAAAATTAAAACAGAAGAAAACCAAACCAAACAAAATGCAAAAAAGAAAAAAAAAAAAAGAAAAAAAAAAAAAGAGCTTTGAAACTAAACAAAAATTCTGAAAATAAACTCAAAAGAAAGGAGGAAGGGGGAGGGAAAAAAAAAAAAAGAACCCGGGAAAGACGAATGTTAGAGCAGGCACGATCATGGACAGACGCCAGCTACTTACGTTCACCTCGGTGATTGCTATATCAACAATGCTACCCACAACAATCAAGGCGTCAAATGTATTCCATGCATCACAGAAATAGTGCTGCATGTGGCAGAGAAGCCAAGAGAGAGAGAGAGAGGAAAGAAGGAAGAGGAAGAAAGAATGAGAGGAAAGAAGGAAGAGGGAGAAAGAATGAGAGAGAGAGAGAAGGGAGAGAAAGAGGGAAAGGGAGAAAAGAGGGGAAAAAAAGTAAAAAGTAAAATAAAATAAAATGAAAATAAAAACAAAACAAAAGCATGAAAGAGGGAGAGAAGAGGAAAAAAATAAGAAAAGAAAGAGGTTATGTGGGCATATTAAATAGTCTCTTACCACTCTACAGTATTGGTTGTTCAAACCTCTGTAACGTTTCACATGATGGAGGGTATCAACAAAAGCCTGGTTAGTCAGAAAGTTACACTCAAGCATGTCTACCTTTTGGAGGGAAAAAAAGCACACACACCCCAAACTCTGTGCGCTTTCACCAGTCACAGCCTTGGGGCCAGCTATGACAAGTGAAAAAGAAGGAGGCATTTCCCCCCCTCCTTTTTTTTTCCCTGGGAGAAGGAGAAGGACGACGGCAAGTTCAATAAAAGCATGACTAGAGGGAAAAAAACCAGAAAACAAAAAGAGAGAGAAAAAAAGAGAGAAAGAGAGAAGGAACAGCAGAGGAGGAGGAGGTGGTGGTATCCTGGGGAGGGTAGAGTAATACTCACATTAGTTTCACTGAGAATGACGTCTATAATGCTGCCAATTACGATGAGGAAGTCAAAAACATTCCAAGGATCACTAAAGTAACCCTACATAAGGAAGGGGCAGGCAGGATGGGGATTAAAAAGGAATGTTAGACAGACAAAAACAGTTCAAAATTACCATTAGAATTTCTGCCCTGACACCTCAAGGGGTTTTCCTCTTAAGTCTACTTGTTGTGTCTCAAGCTGCAGCCTAGGCCTGGGTTCCCTGACTCGTGTGAGCAGCCCCTCTCCAGCTCATGCGATTCCAGAGAAGCCACCCCTCCCCTCCAGCTCTGAGACAGGGGATGAAGGGAGGTCACACAGATCATTTTGAGCATGGCTGCTGGCAGGAATGGGGCTTGCAGGACCAGCTCCTCCAGACATCTCCATTCCTGGCAATGCAGCACCCTTCCCATTTGACTTAACGAGGAGAGTACAGGAATAGCGTAACGTGGTTTCCTCAAAAATGGCTCCAGACTGTCAATATCAATCCCCCAGAACATGTTCCAGCTCTGTGCTGGCACAGGGAATAGCTGGCTGCTGTGCCATGGAGGAAAGGGCACAGTCAAGCTGGGGATGTGCTATCTAAACCTCACCCCTCTCTATACCCAGGCACAGTCAGTATTATTTCAGTCATTAGCCTAACAGTTTCTTGCAGCAGTGCTTTAGGTCCTGTCTCAATAATACAGAGCAGGACTGGTATCTCTGTTACTCTGAAAGCACACCTGCACCCAAAGTGGAGCTGTGCTTGTTCCAGCAGGAAGGGGAACAGGAGCAAAGCTGGCTTTAGCATTGCCCAGAGCCAGACCTGTTGCTGACTCCTCCTTGGCTGTCCAGGACAAGCGACGGCTGGTCACTTCAGGGGCCGCCCCAAACATTGCCCAGAGCCAGACCTGTTGCTGACTCCTGCTCAGGACTGTGCCACAGCAGTGCTGTCACCTTGGCCGTCTAGGATAAGCGACGGCTGGTCACTTCAGGGGCCACCCCAAACCACTCACTGTCCTAAGCAGAGCTCAGGAAACACTAATCAGCACTGCTTATCCTGCATAATTTTTTGGTGGATAGGCTGCAAGGACACAGGACCCTTTTGGAGAAGGTCCTGTTCAGCCTAGGAGATGAACCTCTGCATGTAAAGTTCCTCTACAAGTCAATGTCACGAGCAAAGAAAATTCGTCCTGGCTCACTGAGCACCTGTGCCAATCTCTTGCCCTTGTTCTGCAGTCTTCAAAGGAGGCAAGCATACAAAATCCTCCATGCTCCTTTCATGTGCTTGGTTTTGTGAGCATGGGCTAACCTGACCTCCCTGTTTCCCAGCTGCAGCTTGTCTCCTGTGAGACTGAACCCGAGCTGCACTGTGACTGCTATTCTTAGTCCAAGAGTCAGGTCATGGGTAAAGTGTGAGCCTGTGTTCCCAGGCAGCAGTGCAGAAGGCAAAAAGGAGAAAAGGAAAAAAAAAAAAGAAAGAAAAAAAAAATTATCCCAGTACTGGCACTGTACAGAGTCAGGCTTGGGAACCTCAGATTACTGTGGGTTCAACCATCACGTGGAACAGGCACTGGCAAAAAATGTCTTTCTATCTGCTGAAACACTGCCTCCATGAGACTTTGAGACTCACATTTATGAACAACATCACACTTTGGGTAAGGGAAAAAAAAAAGAAAATACGAAGCAGAAAAAGCCACTGCCCAGCTGGTTCCATGCCAGTGAAGGGAGCTGGTAGAGGGGACTTTGAAATCTCCTCAAAACCAGAATAAAACACCTTTATTCTGCAGCCTGAAATAGGCAACTCTCTTAGCAGAGCTACACTGGAAAGAGCAACCATTCCATGGCTACACATAACTACACAATTAGCTACAACAGGGAGGAAGCAAACAGGAGCAAAAGCAAATTCAGAGAATATTATTATTCAGCGTCCAGCCTAGAAATACACAACAAATATTAGAATGAATTCAGCGGTGATGTCCAGCATCATTAACAACCAGATGGACCTGGAATAAAACTGTAATTAGACTTCACCAAGAGGAAGGGGAGGGAGAGAACAGCAGATTAAATTGTAGAGGCAAACGCATTTTGAATAAATAAAGGATAGACACGGCTCATACAGAGTTACACAAGGTGCCTTTGCAGCCTGATGCGACCTTGGCAGACAGTGCACAAAGCAGAGAGTAGAAGACAACAGACCCAATCCTCCTGCCCCTGTCCATGGGCACAGTCCTGCAGAAGGCAATGGCACTGCCCACATGCCAAATGAATACAAGTGTTCAATAGCATGGTTCTCTTCTATTTCCTCTCAAATTACATAGTTTAGGAATTAATAAGAATTTCAGCAGGAATCCAAACAACTTCAAAAAACCCCAAGAGTTTGATTTTGGGCAGCTGCAAGGGTAAAGATCCAAAATGTGTTGTTTAGATGATGACTTTTAATGATTTTCAAACCAGACATTTGGTATTTTTACTATGATTGGCATCATACTGCAAAGAATGTTTTTGGTGTAACCAAATTTACAATTTCTTTTTTCTGAGCAGCTTCTTACATAGAGCCCAATAATCATTGCTCTGGTAAAACAGCATTTGCTGTTGATACAGAACCCAGGTGACAAGTGGCATCAAATCCTGTCCTCAGATGACCACCAAAGCCAGTCAGAGATTTATTGCTTGCAGTAATAGTAACAGAACCTCACTGGAAGCAATGACACTGCACTGACAGAGCTGGCACATCTCAGGAGAGATTCAGGCCTGGAAAGAAAAGGTCCCTTTTTCATTGCCATCAAAAATAGCTGCTTTGGACCTCTGAGACACCACAGCGTATCTGGAGTCACTCTGCTGACTTCAACAGCATTACTCCAAATTTACACTGCAAGTTCTTTCTCCTGGGATGCTCTACTGAGTCTCAGCAGCAAGATCATTGCTTGAAAGTCATGGGCTGGTCTGCTCTGGGATCTCAGAAAGAGCATTATCCCAGTCTGTTATTGTGTGGTGACCACAGAGAGCTCTTCTCTTCCTCCTGTGTCTCTTAGATGAGTGACAGAGAGGAACTATGGGTATGAATGAAGTTTTACTCAACCCCACATCCAAAATGCCAGTGTTGGATAAATGAAACACATGGGTTTTAAAACCTTCCTTTCCTCCTCACCTGCTCCCTCTGTGTTTCAAACAGAAGGGTGAAAAACAGGAAGATATTATTCACAGTAAGAGGAAGGAAACAGAGAGCACAGACGCTTCATTGGGGTGCCAGGTGATGGAATCCTTGCCTGGAAAGCCACCCACCCTCCTTAGAGACATTTACCTACAAATGGCCCCGTGGGACTTGGCTTTGGATCAGACCTCATAACCTGGTCACGAGTTATGAGTGTGTAATGAGAGTGAGCTACACCCCTTCAGGATTTGCCTCTTGTGACCTCAGGACACCTCTTCAAGCCACATTCCCCACTGGAGTGTACCAGCGTGGCTCATGAAAGACAAACTGAATGAGGGAAGAGCTTTCACTCTAATAAAGAGGTTGTATTTCCAAAATATTTTTCCCACCAGAAAGTTCTGCATACTTTTCCCAAGAGGGTGGAGGTCTGACTGGAAATGAATTGATGGCACTGTTTGTTTTTGCAGTACAGGAATTTAGAGTGTAATACCATATTTTACCCGTAAAGGGAGAGGCTTGACCCTGATTTAGCTATTATTGCATGCCACATAATGGCATCCTCAGGGGTTTACTGGGGAATGGTAGTCACCCTCTCTTGTGGGATGTCTTTGGAGATCCATGAAGCTTTTGGGGAGAAAAGAGGACAGAGAGAGACCAGGAGGATTGGATTGAATATTCAGGAAGCATGAAATAGCCCCACCAATAGAGCACATTTTTTTCCCATTTTTTTCCCCCCCAAAGGTAGCAAATGATAGTGTATCACCACATGATCAATAAGTTTATGAAAGGCTGAGCATAAATATGCAGTAGCTGACTGGAATGGAATCTCATTTGTGTGAGAGGAGCAGACATTTCAAAATGAGTATGCCAATCACTTTTAGGTTTCCTAGTTGCTCAGATTAGCTGTTAAAGAAACTAGGCTTTATTTAGGTGCTAACGGAGGCATTGACATCTCTGGACACCATTTCTTCTACTCTTTGTGAATATGAGTTCCTAAATAGGACATGTAAGAAGCCTCAGTAACAACAACAGAGAAAATTGCCCAAGGGAGTGTATCTGAAGCTCAGAGTCACCTGGAGCCCATAACAAGGATATGTGATAGCTGGAGTGCTGTGCATCCCCACAGGAGCACAGAAGTCCTCAAGGGAAGGGTGCTCATGAGTTTTGAGCATCCAGCCCTGTGGGACCTGCAGGGT